ACAATAAATAAATGTAATAAATAAATAATTAAAAATAAAAATAAAAATAAAAAGACTTTATGATGAATCTGTGCTTAACCAGCTGAAATTCCTTAAAAAAAAAAAAAATAAATAAATAAATAAATTTTGATTTAGGGTCTAACTAAGTTGTACAATTTTAATTTGAACTTGAGATCCTTCTCCCTAGCCTGTCTCACTTACTATGCTAGGATTTATGTGCCTGCCTAAGCTTGCTTAAGCAGGTGCTATAGACCACTAAGCTATCTTGCTGACCTGATTTTTTTTCTTTTAAAACAAACTTGGGACCTGGGAAATAGCTTAGCGGCATAAGCACCTGCTTGGTAAAGTGCAGGGTCCTGAGTTCAATCCACGATATCAAAAAATAAAATCAACCTGAATTTCTCCATACTCTTGACACCAGAAGTCGAAGCATCAGAGGAAGATGGAGCTGGAAGATCGGTTCCTTGTTAACCCAGGTCTTCTGTTTCCATCTCCTTTTAGGCATACACAGCTTACCTCTCAGGAATGCTGCGCTTTGAACACCAAGAGTGGAAAGCTGCCCGAGAGGCCTTTACCAAATGCACGTATGTCTTCTGGTCCAAGGCTATGGCCAGTTCTGATTATCAAGTCAGATTCCAGGTGTTAGCTTATTTCTGGGGAAACTTGGGAGGATTCTTTTTCTGTAGAAATGGTGATAATTTCTTTGATCTTTAAAACACGCCAGCTCTGATAGTTGTTAGAAGAACTTCCCAGGGCATTGTTTGGTTTTAGCCATGTTTCTTGTGAGTTTGTTTCTCTAAAGTAAGGCTGTGTAACACCTGATGTTTCTTTCTCACAGAACTATCTATAAGAAGCTTGCCAGTGCTTTCACAGAGGAGCAGGCTGTACTGTATAATCAGCGTGTGGAAGAGATCTCACCCAACATCCGCTACTGTGAATATAATATTGGTGAGCAGGAGCTGAGGTGGTCATCCAGCTCGAGTGTTGACCTGGGAGAACCTGGAGAATGTATTTAACTTTGAGCCCCTCCCCTTGTAGCCATCCTTGGCCTGAGTGGTGATTAATGATGAGTAGAACTGTCAGAGTCAGGCCTGTTCAACATTATGGAAGGCACTTCTTTGGCTTTTTGTTCATTTGTACGGTAATGGGGATTGAATTTAGGGCCTTTGCACTGTGTTCCATTGCCAGCCTTTTTTTCAGACAGGATCTTGCTAAGTTATCCAAGCTGGGCTTGAATTTGCAATCCTCCCAGAGTGCTGGGTTTACAGACATTTACCACCACACCTGGCTAGTCCCTTTTCTTCTGTTTCTATCCTGCTATCTTCTGTACTCCCCTATTTGGGTCTTGAGTCTTTAGTCAAAGTCATGTTTCACCTTTTTTAAAAGTTTTTGCCCAGTTCCCTCATGTTTTACTTTTTTTTCCTGTATTTTAGGAAAGGGTCTACAGGGTGTTCAGGGTCTCACTACTAGATCGGACTCCTAGTGATCCACCGTTTATAGCCTCCCACGTGCTGGGATTACGGGCATTGCCCAGTCTCAATCACTATCTCTGCACACCCTGGAGGCAAGGCTGGCACAGCAGGCCCAATAATCAAACCCACGGCCCTTGTACCTGCTTGCAGGCACTTTAATCCGCTGAGCTCTTCGGCTGGCCCATGATTTACTTTTTTGAACAGTTTTAGGTTCACAGCAAAACTAAGAGAAAGGTACTGGGATTTTTCATGAGCACCTTCCCCTTACCATACATAGCCTCTTATCCCATGTCGCCACCATCTGCCACTAGATTGGTGCATTAGTTCAAGTGCTTGAGCCTCCATTGATGCAAAATGAAGGTGTGTTCTTGATATTGTACACTCTGTGCTTAAATGTGTCACAGTGTGTGTCACAATTACAGTGCCACAAACAAACTCGTTCTTTTTTTAAAAATTTTTATTTGTTTATTTATTTGTGTGTGTGTGTGTGGCCAGCTCAGCCCACCAGGGGCGGGTCTGGCTGGCATGTGGTGCTGGGGGATTGAACCGCGGTCCCTGTGCTTTGCTTAGCTTAGCTTGTTCTAAGTAGGTGCTTTAGACCACTGAGCCATCTCACCAGCCCCCCAAACTCGTTCTTTGTAAAAGAATTTGTCCTAAAAAGATAGATCATGCTGTGGATTCCTTGAAATGTGTTTGTGAAGGTGAAGAAGTCCTGTAGTTTTGGGGGTGAATCAAGTGATTCTTAAGAAAACAGACCAGACCTTTAAAGATTCCTCCTTTCTCACTGTTTTTTCTCTTAGGGGACCAGTCAGCTATCAATGAACTCATGCAGATGAGACTGAGGTCTGGGGGTGCTGAAGGTCTCCTGGCTGAAAAACTAGAGGTAATCTTAGTTTATTTACTTTTGTGAGAAGGTCTGGTTTGGAAAAGCCCAGAATAAGAAATTTATAATTCTACTACCCACAAATACCTACTATTAATATATGCATATTTGTAGCTATGCCTATACAGCATATATGTACATCTCTATATATTACATGTATGCATACACGCATGCACATGTACATGTTTTCTTTCAAAAAAGTAGAAATTTTTGTATGCTTCAAAAGATGATATATTGGTCATAGAAAGAGACAGGTAATAGGTCCCCTTATTTCTGTCGCTCTTGTCCACAATCATAGCTTTAACATTTAGAACAACTTTCCAGGCCCTGATCACACAGACTCGAGCCAAGCAGGCAGCTACCATGAGTGAAGTGGAGTGGAGAGGGAGAACGGTGCCAGTGAAGATCGACAAAGTGAGGATCTTTCTCCTAGGCTTGGCTGATAACGAAGCAGCCATTGCTCAG